CAGCTTATAAAATGAGTCAGATCAACGTGAGCAGGTAAGGCAATCACTGATTGGCATGTCCTTTAGCCAATCAGGAAATGTCACAGATCTACTGAAGGATGTGTAGATTATTTTTGGTGGTAAAGGACAGGTCTATGTGTTTTAATAAAGGTGGCTTCCAAAATAGAGATGAAAGGTCGACCGACCATTTGCAATAATTTCAAACATGTTATCCGTGTAGTTGATGACATTTTCTGGATACCATTTTCTAGTAAAATAGTTTTAATTGTCTTCAATTCGAAATCTAGTTTAGATTTTGAACAGATAACAAGAGCACGATGGACTAAAGCAGCAATAAGATTTGTTTTGCGACTTTTGAGATTGAAAGAATCCCATCGTGTATTGTCCGCAGGCTCACAACGTCCTCGCATAGATTAGTATCTTTCTCACCACAGTTCTTATTTATTTATTGTGATAGGTATTTTCATATCAAAACAGAATTTCACATAATTTCTCTGTATTTTCCAGATATAATGTTAAATGGCAGCTATTATTTTGAACACTGATGCTGTAATAACAGAGTTAAAAATTAATTTTCTAGATTGATTTTCTTTTAATGTTTATATAATCAGATTGTTACATACTCTACAATACAACTGTAAGTAGTTGGATTTAAAATAATTTGTTTTATTTTTTATTACTAGCATGAAAAATCTAACTTTCTTTGAATGGTTTTTATTTATTAAACTAGCAAACCTGTGGGCCTATAGCCTACATTTACAGGGCCACTATAATGCAAATTTAATTTCTTTAACCACTTTATGAACAGTAATTAGTAGGCCTACTTATTTATGTGTTCTAATGTAAGTCAATGCAAATTTTGGGTTCCACTTTTAGGGAATCCCCGTAAAAGTATTTTTTGCAAAATACTGGGTTCCATAAGGGGTAGAATGAAAAGCTTTACCTATGTGCAGACTTCTGGGCTGAGACAATTCATTTGGCACCAGTTAGAAGTTGGCAAGTCCAGCAGTTTAGGAGAAATAATTTTTGGGAAATCCCTGGGTTCCCTTAGGAGTGAGGTTAAAAATTTTACCCTTGTCCAAACCTTGGGACTGAGACAATTCAATTGGATTCCACTTAGAAGTTGATGAAACTGGTGGTTTAGGATTAGTTACACGACACACACACACACTGTATCTTAGTATAGAGATAGATGGACATATATACATATATTTATATTGATTATTATACTTTTTTTAATAGGAAGCTTTACCTATTGCTATGGCTATCAAGGACTATCACCCATTAAGTCATGGTGAATTGAATTTGCAGGTAAGGAAGAAAAAAAACATTTGTATTTAACATTGTAAGCTCTTCATATCAAAATATAAATTTTTGTCATTTAAGTTTAAAGGACTGTTATAAGTGATATTTATGACATTTGTGTTTCATTTGTATAATACTTGTAATAAATACATGAACTTAAATTTATTTTAGAATTTTAACACAAGTTAAAACACAAGTATATATGTTAAAAATGTGTGCTGTTGCTACTAGGTTGGTGTGTTATATTTTCTGAACCTGTTAGATGCACAATTACATAACCACGCACACACAAAAGCATATAAATGATTGAATTTGGTATCAAATGACAAAAAATTTTACAGAGCTGATGTGATTTTATCTTTAATACTTTAGTGCTATCACAGCTATAACATGAAAGTAATTATGTACATACTTTTTATATGTAAATTCATCTACTTTCATGAACAAATATAGCATCAAGCCATCAGGCTTTACAACTATGATTTTAACTCTCATTTATCCACCTCTCCCATTTCATATATTGCAATATCAAGTTTTTTCCATACCCTGTAAACATACGTGTGTGTCTACACACACACACACACACATATATATATATATATATGTATATTAGATCATACAAGCTAACAAACCATATTCCAGGTGTTGCCAGTCTTTACAGATTCCCTTGATTGTATAAATAGGATTGGAAATGGTAAAGACTCCCAGTTACTGATACCATGCTTAAAATGGGATGGTGAATTTGCTTCTTAATTCAATACTTGATTTACATATATTTACAAGAATAAAGTAGACTAGTTTTCAGTGGATTTTTGTAAAGCATGAACAATGCCTGTTGTGTAATACAGCCCCAATCAATGAGTGCTGGCTTGGGTTTGTCTCTGAACCCTGAAAAGGAGGACATGCATCAGAGCACTTGATGTGCATAATTTCTGAACTATGTTGAATTAAAATGCACCCTCAGTAATGACATGTCTTTTGACAAGAGCAGTTCTGTTTGTGTATAACTCTCTTCATGTTTAATATTCTCACCATAGTCAATACACAAATTCAACATTTCTAGTTCAAAAACTTGCCTAATCAGAAGTTTATCATGTAAGATATTTGATTAGTTTACTTATGTTGAGCTTGTTATTGTTGTTGATCAGGATATCAGATATCTTGCAGAATTTGCCAGTTTTCTGTCAAAATCTCTACAATTTGTAACTTTTGAAAATAGTACTTGCTATCTACTATGTATATTGAAAGGCAGCTGTATTAACACATCTGAGTAAATAGTAAATACAGTAATACTTGTGAAAGTACCCGGCTTCACTCGGGTTATTAGATTGATATATTCTAGATGACTATGTCACTGTGTGTGTATTCTGAACCTATTTTAGCATAGAAGAACAGTCAAAAATGTTTTAAACATTTTTATTTCCCAGAAACATAAAAACACTTCTTTTCTATGTAATTTTTTGCTTGCTTGCCTCATTAAAAAGATGCGCATGTGTGCACACACGTGGATAAGTGATATAATACCCAGGTGTATACTCTCAGGGTCCACTTAGTATATTGTAATATAAGGATCCGCTTCTTTTCTATGTGGTTTTTCGCATTAAAAAGATGCAAATGCGTGCACGCACGTGGATAAGTAATATAATACCCAGGTGTACACCCTCAGGGTCCACTTAGTATTTTGTAATGTAAGGAACCATTTCTTTTCTATGGGTTTTTTGCCAGCTTGCCTCATTAAGAAGATGTGCATGCACACACACACACACAGATCAGATAAGTAATAATACCCAGATGCACACCCTCAGGGTCCACATAGTATGGGTACAAAATTTCAGGATTCTAGGTTCTTTTCTCTTGGAGCTTTGGTTGTCACACACAGACACAGATCCACAGACATGCCCTTTTATTATTATAGATAAATAGTATACTAATTAACACCTTGTTCCATTTGTACCAATACTTAGTGAAGGGATAACTAACACTGAAGAATGACTCGGTGGATATCATGAAAGGATGTACACTATGGAAGAGTGAAACAACTATATTCTAACTATACAAAACGTATTTGTGCCTTTTGGTGTTTCAAGTTTTTACTTTGAACTATTATAAGTATACTTTAGATTAATAGAAATTCAATGCATCTTGAATGTATAATTTTCAAATTTATAGAGAAATTTTGATGAATATTTATAATTATGGATTATTCTTTCAGAGGTGATAACTCACGTCCACACACAGTTTAGCTATATTCCTCATGCATCTACCTAAAGATTTGCATACCACTAGCCTTGAGGCAACTCCCACCAATGTTCATGTGTTTTAACGTGAACTGCTCTGGTGCATAATAATGTCATTATGTCACAAAAGTGCTCCACTAATAGGAGGCTAACACAATCTCCATACACAGTTACTCCTCTGTGCACTTGCACTTGTGATAACTTCCTTCTTTTCCTTGACATAGAGTTTAATATGTTGAGACTTGCATTATTAATAAAACTGATATTAATTTTACGTAGTTTTTGTTTGAAAAAACTTAAATTTCTTATCATGAATTCTCAAATGACAGTGACTTGTATTTAGTCCTGTGAGTGTGATGCTGTTCACACACACAGATTTTTTTTACTGTAGCTTCTGAAGGCTTGTTAACTATCAGGGACATTGCAGCCATTGTTCAATGTATTGAGGATTACCACATGCTTACTGGGCCTTCTACTCTCGTAACATTGGCTACCATTATTTCTGTCAATTGAGAATGATCCTTTGGGCTGTCACTTTAACATGACTTGCTTTGATTAGTGTCTTACCATTCAAGAAGCAACTTTAATTTTCGATTCTCTTTCTGGATTTTATTCTCAGGTATCTTCCTTTACTTATTTTTTGCCTGTGTTCTTTATTATTTCTCATTTTTTACTTCATGATCCGCAATTCTTGTAGTTTACCTTGTCTTTCTTCCTTGCTTATTCTTAAAGTTTGTACTGTTTTCTTTCTCTAATAGCTCCTCTTTCTCACACCTGAATGCCTAGTTCCCCTCATGTCCATGACATTCTTCCTTTCCTTTTCTCGATTCCCTGTCCTTGGTATCTATTTGGCCAGATTGGGAATTGGTCGTTTTTCATATCTCCACCTTGGTCTCTCCCCTCACTTTGCTTCTTTTCCCATTTCCTTTTCTCCTCCTCCAACCCCAAATATGTTTTTTTTTCACCCAGTTTATTGTTGGCTGTGATCGATATGTCAGATACTTTCCTACATATCACTCTTGTCCTCCATATATATTTTACATTCAGTCCATCATTTTTGCATTTTCCCATTCCTTGCACTTCCTTTCGACTTAACATAGGCCCCTTTTGCATTCATTAGTATCATGAGAACCTTCACTCGCTATATTCTTGGCCCAGGCTGACTTTCCATTTCTTGGTCAATTGCCTTCTGTTGGCCCATTCTCAGTTGGCTACTTGCTTGTGGGGACTTGTCCTGAGATCTCGGTCCTTTCTCATGCGAACTAAATATTTGGTACTTTTGGGCATTTTCTTCGTCTCTTGTCTCAAATGCATTAAGTCTTCTCCTCTTTGCCTGTGAGCTATAAACCAGTGGGGGCAGGAAAAGGACCTGCCCAATGATCAGTGAGAAGGTCAACCACATTGATGTAGAGTGAATGCAAGTACTTCATCCAAATGGCAAAAGTCTGGTCATCATCCAGAAACGTGTCTTACAGAGACAGTGAAGCATCAGTGAAGAGAGAGATCCAATTTGAGAGGTAATAATGGAATGCCAGAAGTAGTATGGGCATGGTCCAGTCACCATGACAATTCCTCGAGAAGAGGTTCACAAAGGAAGGAAATGGAATCAACAAAGAAACCGTTGCATTCATAAGTACCAAAGGAGAGGCAAATCTTGCATACCACAAAAGTAAGAGGGGTACCAGGGAAGCCAGAGGTCCCAAAATCAAAAGAACCTCATGCACAAAAAGAGAATGAGAAGTGCAAAACCTGGTGACCAGATATGCTATCACTTGGTCATGTTCCACTCAGTCATTTCCATGAACATTTAGATCAACCATCTGAGAAGCTCCTGTTCCAGGATCCTTTGTTTTTGGGCATTAGAATACACTTCTGGGCCATTTCACATTGGGTTTGACTTATTGTGTGTCATTTGCCTGTAGCTATGAACTTGTTCATGAGCTTCCTTTTTCAGTCAGTATGCATTCTACCAATGGAATGGTCTCTACTCCCCTAGGTCTTTCATGGAGTTTACTCTTGATGGGGCAATCCCCTCATGGATGCATTTGTCACTCTTCTCTAAGCTTTCCTTCTTCTGGTTCCATGTTCCTCATCCTTCAGCTTTGGCTCAGCCAGGCCTAGTCTCACCTATTTTTACATGCCTCTTCTACTATTCATCTACTCCCCTTGGGTCCTCGCCCTGTTACACATCACTCCTTGTCAGATTTTATAGTTGGTGCCTCTTTGGCCAGCTCATTTGTGGTTTTCTCTGCTTCTTTGATCATCATTCATCCCCCTTTCCTCTACTTGATTTTCTGTCTGATCTGTTGCTGGTTGGGCTTTTCAATCATTTGGCATTCCTCCTGTTTCCCTTCTCCTTTGTTTGTCTGTCAATAAAAGTGGTGGGGTTTTCATTATTGGTTCATTTGCTTCTCCTTTCCACCTAGCCATCCTACTGTGAACCACCTTTCTTTCTTTTTTCTCAGGTGTTTCTCCATGGTTTTGTGGTCTTTGCCATTGCTGGTTATTGGGCATCCTTGTTTATAGCATTTCTCCTTTTCTGGTACCACAATCCATTTCTTCTTCTATACTTTCTTTTCCATTAACCTTTTTTTTTCTTCTCTATCCTCCTTGCCTGGCTCACATTCCTGATTGAGACCTTAATGAGATCTGCCCACTCTCACACATGCCCCTTTGAGCCTTTGGCTGTTTCCTTCATACTGTCCATCTCTCCAGATTTACTTCCTCCTTGTTACCTGTGATTACCATTGTTTTGTTGTCTATGGTGTG